GAAAGATCGTCACATTCTTTACAACTTTTGTTCTTTATGTCTTTACAAAATATTAACATGTAAAAAGATATTGCAGAAAAGATGTGAAAAATTTCTAAATCCCCGATAGGAATTTTTTCGAGCCATAGCGAGCGCTGGCGTGCTGCACTTCCGGAGAAAAAGAGAGGTGTGTGTAACATCAGCACATCTTGCTCTGAAAATCTTATGTTTTTGTCTAAAAAGCACTTTTGAGAAAAATGAGACCCCCTGAAAATCACTAAATCGCGGAAATCTCAAAACTGGAAGTGACGTCATTAAAACAAAAAATTATATATCAGGTTTGTTTGATATTCTATCAGTCCTGAAAGTTTCATGAAAATCGAGCGAGCCGTTTCCGAGAAATGGCGTACACAAAATCGGTAAGAAAATAATGCAACAATAAGTTCGAACGGAAGTGACGACGACGGACAGAAAATTAGTTTTTATCCTCCCAGTGACAGATGTTACCTTAAAACTTGTCAAAAACGGCAAAAATACGCATTTTCCGACTACTTCCGGTTTGGCCGGAAGTGACGTCGCTGGACGTATTTTGATGACTTCAATAGATTGAGCTTGACATTTTGAACAACTTTGCTTCTTTGACGTATTACAAATTCTGAATACTTTTTGAGATAAAAAGGAAAAACTTTTGGCCCCTCTTGGCCCTTAATTTTAGTGGCCAGCCCTTTTTTCGAGATATCATTTGAAAGATCTTGGAATTCTACACTTCTTTTGTTCTAAAAGTTTTAACAAAATATTTCTAGGTAAAAAGATATCGTAAAAAAGGTGTTAAAAATTTTGAAATTGGAGATAGGACTTTTTTCGGGCCATGTAGTCGGAAAATTCCTCTTCAGAGCTAATGTTCTTTGTTGATGTACCCGACTTTAAAAAAATATTATCTAATCTTATCTTATCTTATCATAGCGGGCGTCGGCGCTTCTTACTTCCGGTAGTTATGATATACCAAATACACCTCTCCAAAGATTGCTCTAGCATCACTGAAAATTTCATGCTTCTGTGTTAAGTGCTTTTTGAGAAAACTACCGGACAATATGACCCTCTAAAAATCACTCAATCGCAGAAAACTCCGAACCGGAAGTGACGTCATAAAAACGAAAAAAAAAATGAATCAAGTTCAAGTAATGCCTTATTAGTCCTGAAAGTTTCATGGAAATCCATCAAGCCGTTTTTGAGAAATCGAGTGCACAAAATTGGCAAGAAAAAAAAAATAAGACCGCGGAACATTAACTGGCAAAATTGGAAATATACAGCTTACATAATTTCTATCTGTTACAATCAAAAGATTCAGTGATAGACAATGAAATGGGCGGGTACAATTCGACGCGGACGTGGGGAAAACATCGGATTGAAATTGCAGATCGAAATTTATTTTCAGTTCACCTTAGCTACGCTAGAAGGCACATTATTACTGATTGACCCAGAAGACAAATAATTTCAATTTTGGGTAGTTTGAATTTTTTTGTCGGACGAATATTTCATTTCTGTATGGTAAATATAATATATATATATATCTTTGTGTTGGTGGTGGTGGTGGGGGGGTGTGTGTGAAGGATTTTTAAATAAAGTTGTCCAACAGTTTTCAGTGAGAATAAGTATAATCTCATGCACTCTCATAATCCTAGAAATAAAATATATTGTCATGTTAAGCAATGACTTGACTCGACAATTTTTAACCCCCCCCCCTTCTAGAATCAAGTATCTCCTGAAAAATAATCTTTGTCGTCTATGATCTTTTGCGTTCTTAGAATTATATACTAAAACTCATATTAATGTGAACTTCAAACAATATGTATTTAGGAGTTGAAATTAGTTGAATTTTGGATCATACATTCACTCTTTGATTTGAAACCAGCTCAGGTGGATTGAAAATTGAACATGAATTTCGATCTGCAATTTCAATCCGATGATTTCCCCACGTCCGCGTCGAATTGTACCCGCCCATTTCGTTGTCTATCACTGAATGTTATGACTGTAACAGATAGAAATGACTTAAGCTGTATATTTCCAATTTTACCAGTTAATGTTCCGCGGTCTTAATAATAAGAAAGTGAAAAAGAAACCTAAGAATCACTAGAAGGTCTTCCGCTGAAGCTGGAAGACCTTAATAATAATAAAAGTGAAAAAGAAACCGAAGAAAAACAATAAGGTCTTCCGCTGAAGACGAAAGACCTTAATAATAGTAAAAGTGAAAAAGAAACCTAAGAGTAACATGAAGGTCTTCCGCTGAAGACGAAAATCCTTTATAAAAGGGAATAATCTTAGCCATCAGAATCAGTAGGTCTTCCGCCTGAGCGAAAGACCTTAATAAATCTTCGGACTCGAAAATCCTATTTTGTAAAGGAGGGGGGGGGGTCATTTTGTTTTCACAACCAAATTTCTTTATGTATTACAACATTAGCATTTCACTGACCGTTTTCTAAGGTAAAAAATCCAAGAAAAATTTGGGACTTTCTTTTCTCTCTCTCTCTCTCTCTCTCTCTCTCTCTCTCTCTCTCTCTCTTTTTTTTTTTGCAAATCCAAGGCGGGGGGTTGGGTTGCAACCCCCTTAACACCCCTCTGGATCCGCCACTATATATTTATTAAATCTGGAGTTTTCCATGAATTGTGGGGACTCGAAATGAGAGGATTGCATGGATACAGATATTTCAGCTGGTTGTCAAGGGGTGTGTCCCCATATCAAACCAGGTTATTGGGAAATAATTTGCGTTCCTACATGTATTGGACACATAAGAAATTGAATTACATATGCATAGCTGCAGAACTAAACATAGCTTTTTGCTAGAAAAAATCGGACAGATAAAGCAGAGAACTTTTTTGTCACTCACATTTCCTGTACTTTATGCTTTTCCCCGCTCTAGAAATGGTATTCGATAATGAACTATTTAACTCCTACTCCTGATATTTTATTTACTTTGCACTTGATTCCAAAAGGCCTTTTGTGGTTTGTGGTTCGACGTCGAAATTAGAATTTTTAAACCCAACATTCCTGTGTGGACCATTATTTAAAAGGTAAATAAGGTACATGTATCAATAAAAGGAGTAAAATATATGATTAATTATCGGGTTATGCCATTTTAAATCGGGGGAAGGCATAATTAATATACTAGAAATAAATTAAAAGAAGTCAGCGGCGTAAATTGAAGGTGTATCTCTCTGCTTTATATTTTCTAAAGCAGAGAGTTCTGCAGCTAGTTTACGTAATACATGTAACAGGCTTAATCTTAAAACAAAGCGTGTGTCATGGCCATGGGTAAAACAGAGAGAAAAATACTGACAAAAGATGTCTATACCTCAAGTTAAGACATACATGTATTCAAATTCAACGACATGCAAATCAAGCTAAAAAGAAATTGATTTAAAGACACACCGCAATGACGATAAAAAATGTACTTACGATCAACTGATTGGTTTCGATGGAACGCGGTAGTCAGCAATGAGAAAAACACACTCATTCTCTTCTTCACAGTTAGAAACACATCGATTATTTCCTACGCACATCAAACATATTGCTGCCACAGATTTAAGATCAATTTTTTTATATTCAATTTTCAAAGAAAGCTATCAAATATTTTGCCGTGAAAGATTAATTTGCGTGCAAATCTAGGGGTAGACGGAATTTTATGTATCCCAAGGGCACGTCAATTATTTTTAATAATTAACGACACATAAAATACTATTTGGCTGATTTATATATATATATATATATATATATGGCTGCCTTATATGTAGCCTAGTACTCGAGGCCTTGCACTCAGAAGGCCTCAGGTACTATGCTACCTTATACGAAGTGGGTCCATTATTTTATGGAATGGGTTTATAATTATATGCTGTGGTTTCATTATGATATGCTGACTTGACTCAAAAAGAATTTAGTGTTTTTGCCTTTTTTCTCAATTTTTCCCTAATTCATCTTGATCCTGGTATAAATGTTTTATAAATGTACTCCATAATTACAGGGGAGATGAATTTCGAACGGATTATGGAAGATTAGCAGAGCCTAAGAAGTATTCTACCAAACACTAACATGTTGGCATTGACAGCAACTGCTTCACCAATCTCCGGGACTTCAATTATGAAAAAAACTTGGAGAGAGGAAATGTTGTTGTTGACAATTGTGACAGGAAAAACATTATTCTTAATAGTGTTAAAGCACCTCGTGATGGGAAACCTGTGTTGACGTGGTTGATGGAAAACCTAAGGAATTATAAGCAGCAATGTCCCAAGACAGTCATTTATTGTCGCAGCATTAAAGCGTGTTCAGTGCTGTTCAAACTCTTTACAGGTGTTCTGGGAGACAATGCATATTGTTATACCCTTATAAATATCATTCTATATATATATATTACTTATAAAAAGTCCTACAAAAGAACTGTTTATTACATCGGTCTAACAATTTCACTATTGACCGGTCTTACATAGGAATTGTTAGACCGCAACGTCACTCGTCTGTTACGTCACAAATAATTAATCCTCGTTCAATATCGGCGACGCGAAAATAGCCGAAGTTAAGAGCTACAAGAGTTGTTGCTAATAGCAAGGTAAGGAAGAAGGGAAGAGTATGTTTTGTGATAAATAATTTTTGTGATACAATAGATATATAATTGATTTTGTTCTTTCTCAGCTTGATGATTTATATTTACTGAAGAAGCCATAATTTCCATATAAAACAATTGATAATATAGCGTGTATTGATTAAATTGATCAATTTTAAGTGAGCAGTGAAGGGTATAACAAAACAGTTATAGACTGGGATTCGGGCAACATATGATTTGTTGGACCTGAAGGTGAAAATGTTTCCCTTGGCCTGCGGCCTCGGGCAACATTTTCACCTTCAGGTCCAACAAATCATATGTTGCCCTCATACCCAGTCAATAACTGTATACTGTGGTGTTCATTGTGCTAAAAATAGATTAGTTGCTATGTATCACCATTCAACATCAAATAAGTGCAAAACTATTGTCATGGATGAATTTCCAAAAGTTGATAGCAAGATAAGGGTTGTCATTTGTACCTCTGCTTTTGGCCTAGGAGTAAATGTTCCTGATATAGATATGGTATTAAACTGGGGAGCACCAAGATCTATTGAGGAATTAATGCAAGAATTCAGGAGGTGTGGCAGAGATGGTAGAAGTGCAATGTCAGTCTTGTACTATCATGGAAAGGACATTGGCAAAACAGCAACGGATGACAAAATGAGGTCGTATGCAATGGCTGAAACCTGCAGAAGAGTGCTTTTGCAAGAATTCTTCACACCTGATGTCAATAAATCTTTACCAGTAACTCCAAAACATTTGTGCTGTGATAATTGCTGTAAAACATGTGAATGTTTAAATTGTCCACCTTTACATGACTCTCTTTTGTCCGACTTTGAAGAAAATGCTGCTTTGTATGCTGCTACCTTAAATTGCGAATTAGTGATTTGCCATACGGTGTCAGAAGAACAGCGCAACAAAATATCTGAAAAACTTAAGGAGTATAGAGAAATATGTCTAGAGGACAGTGGTCCATCTTTACTAAATGTTGGTATCTTAACTGGATTAAGTGATTCATTGATTGATTCAGTTGTAAGCAATGTTCACTATATAGGTAGTAAAGAAGATTTCTTGTCTGAGTACATATTTGACAAAAATCTTGCAAGTTCAGTGATGTGCATTATTGATGAAGTACTTAATGATTGATCAATTTATGTACCTCAGTTTCAATTTTAGTACCTCCATGATGTAGAAGTAATACATTCAGATAATCTTACACTGTTATATGCAGTCTGTTAATGCTACCATGTTTTAAATGTTGATAAATTACACCTGTATATAGAGTTCACCAAAATTTAACATCCCTGTTTCTCTGTATATTCAGATATATGTAACTCATTGTTCATTCAATTCTTTTTTTTATAATGTGACATGTAGTGCCTAGATAAACAGTTTTTAGGTTTGTACCATTCCCAATTTATGATTGTTTGTTAATTTCAGTGGTTTATTATATTAAAGTATTATATTTACATTTCACACTTGTTTTCCTTACAAATAAAGAAGGCATTGAGAAGTGTTAACATTATTGCATTGCACATTTTCATACATCTGATGCAAATGAGGTGTGCTTACATATTCAATAATGTGATGAAAACATCACACTGATTTATCATTATCTTTGAATTCTTTGAGAGTTCTGAATATTTAATTAATTTGAAGCAACTATAAATACTGTATACAGGGTTATTTTCGTCCCTTGTTATTATCCCCCTTTCACACTCGTAACCAAGTTTGTCCTGTTTTAAATTCTTTCAATTATAGTGCTGTTTAAGAAATTATACTGCATTCTATGAATTCGCTCTGTCTAAATTCGCTGAAATGTGGGAAGGGGGGAAATAAAAACGGGCCTAAAATGTCCCTGTATACAGTATATACAATCTTGATTTATTTACACTCTAAGTTTATCACTGATATGTTAAGCTCTTTTTAGCTGCAATAATTAAGCTCTCCATTTTTTTTGTGAATTTTCTGAAAACATTAGACATTTAAAAAAATGGACAGGGCCTCATTCTTGCAACTACCAGTTTTCTGTTTATAAATTGAAAAACTATTCAAGCCCATTCAAAAGTGTTTATCACCTTTATTAATTAACAGATAAGCACAAAATTGATATAAAAAATGTCTTTACAGAGTTACTTGATACGTCAAGAGGAGTTTGAAAAATTGCAAAAGGTGTAATCGAATTTATTAAATGTTTTAAGACTTTTGAAACTTATCATCTTTGGAAATTAAACTGCACCATTAACATCAAAAGAAATGCATATGGTATTGAGTATCAAAACAAATTATTTCACAAAAGTAAAATGACACATACATTTCCTAAGACAGTCACTTAAAATGCATACTTTCCATTTGAATACTCCTGTTTTTTATCATTCAAGCACTTAGAACCTGTGAATTAACATCATGGAACATATCAAACTGTTCATTAAATAAGTCATGTCGCCTACCTCTTATGACGGAAAATACATCAGCATTTTTAACTGGTTAACAACAGCTCTCAAATCAAGTGTTTTGTCTCTTTGTGCATGAGCAGTGCCTCCTGGATGAACTCCAATTTCTCTTTCCAGTTTTTCATTCACATTATGGCAAAACATCATTGTCTTTCCGATCCTGTCTACAACTTCTGGTGTTTGATTAGGACCCAATAATTTTACACGTCCTTTTGCATACTTGTTAAGCAACTCCATGACGTAATCTCCATCAAGATTTTTATCTTTTCCTCCAGACAAATTTACAAACCGGTTCCAAATAATCTGATGTCTCTGCTTTTCTGTGAAAACTGCATTCACACCAGCTAAAAGTAGGAAAGATTCAAGTCTGTACTTAATCTTGTGTGATAGGTCATATACTAACAGGGCATATTTCCAGTGCCTTATTAGTCGAATACCATCTCCACTTCTGGTGGCCAGAACAGAAATTTTTCTAAAAACTCCATATTTTGTAATATTTGTGGAGTAATTGAACACCCCATGATCTGTAACTGGACCCCCATGTCATTTGCATTACCTTCCATTCTATTTACAGTTAATGCAAAGCTGTTCCAGAAAAAGGTGTCCACCATTTCCCCAACTATCTTATCCAAAACTCTCTTTTTTGCATTTTCATCAGCAAGATCCATGAAATGAGGAATTTTTGGACAAGGGTCCTCAATATTTGTCATACCAAATGCTTTCAAAGCTGCTGCGATGATGTGTGCATCTGTAACCAAATCAATAAAAGAACCAACCGCATGGTAATCAGCACTTGCATTTTTTACAACATTTCTTCTGTTAATAATGTTTCTGAGTTGGTACAGTGTCCACATTTCTCTTGCACTGGCTGCTTTATAGAACCTATCCATCATTGCCTACAATATAATAAAACTATCCCAATAAAATGAAAAAAAGACTCTGTCATCTTAAAAATTAAATCTTCATTTTACTAAAAAACAAGTAATAAAAATTTGCATAAATAAAGAAGTTGTAATTAATTGGGAAGAGTATCCCTATCACATAATGGGATACATCAATATTTTTGACTTGTGTATCAAAATTTGACTAATAAGCAGCACTTTTAATTTTTTCCTATAAAAAGCTGTATTAAACAGTAACCATTCAAAAGTCATAACTTTTTTAAATAAATGTAAGAACGACAAACACATCCCTGAAACCTAGATGTATTGAAATAAATTATACACAATTCTACTTTCCAAAATTCAAATATATATATATATTACATTTTGTAAAGCTGTTAAAAGATGTAAAGCTTAATTTTCAAACTGTAGTTAAGAAATTTGTATTCAAAATTGCTGTCAGTAACTGACCAAATTGATGTGTATCATGATATATAGAGGTATATCTTTACTTCCCTACTGATGAACTGTTAGAATCGTGGAAGTCTTCAACCATAGTAATTAATCCCCCCAGTCTAGTAATTAATCCCCCCAGTCTTTCCTCTTGGCTATCAGCATCTAGACTGGGCATATGTGCACCACGTATCCTCTCGCAAATTAGTTGGTCACCTCCAACTGGAATGGCTCGCATTTGGATATTTCTTTCCTCTCTGAAAACAAATTAACCATCATTCATAATTTAGAAATAATGATTGTGTGCTCATGGATTCTTATTCAAATTATTATTCATAAATAAAATAAAAAAACCTTTCATGAATTTCATCCACTTCTGTCCTTGCTCCAGGGACAAACTGATGTAAGTGCTCAAGGATCTCTATCATGTCATTGGTTTTATTTTCATTTTTAAGCAAAATGCCCAGTGGTATCTAAAAGATTCATATTTTTTGTTATTAAACAATAAATTCAGCAATAACTAGTGATATAACAAGGAAAAAAGTTATCCTTTACATCATGTTGCACTGAGTTTGTAAAAAAAAATTTTTTAAGTTCATCTGTAATTTTAAAAAAAGGTGAAAATGTTTACTTTCATAATTTTACATGTGCGTTACACTTATAGTATTTCACATAAAACAACTGGTCTTTGTGAATGCTTACCAACTGTTTATTACTAAATGAATGCAAGAGCAATCCCCTTAAAATACTGCTCATTCTACATAAAAAAGATACAAACTGTAACAAGAAATATTTCAACAATAACATACACTGAAATGCTGCATATTTTCTTCAATTTTTTACACCAATATGCACATGCAGCATTTTAGTTTATAATGTTAGTAAAAAGCTTTCAAAGTGAAAAAGGAATAATTTGCAACACTTCTGAACAACAATGAACATGAAAAAATTGTAATGATCAGCAAAACAGCAACTCAAAATTGCTACCAATACTTGTTTAAACCAGAAGTCTCTGTCGAGACTGAAGCTCTACTGGTTTGTACTTATAACAAATGAAGACAAAAGTAGCAGTTGGGACTTAAAACTTTACAACAGCAATGAATAGAATAATGATGCTTGATTGAGCTCTTTTTGTGGCAAGATACTGCAATAAGACTACAGCTGTAGGAGTACATGTGTAACTATTAATAAACTTTTAGAGTATTTTCAATTTTAGTAACCATGGCAACATCATTCCTCGAAATCAAAAATCGATAAAAAGAATTGTATATCTTAGTGTAGTCTACTCGTGTGTCAAGTTATATTGAAATCAGACCAAAACTGTAGGAGGTGTAGCATTTTGAAAGCATTTCAGAGAAATTTCTATTTTTAGAAACGAAGGCAACACCGTTCATCGAAATGAAAAATCGATATAAAGAATTATGTATCTTAGTGTAGTCTACTTGTGTGCCAAGTTATATTGAAATCAGACCAAAACTGTAGGAGGAGTAGCATTTTGAAAGTATTTCACTGAAATTTCTATTTTTTAGTAACCACGGCAACACCGTTCATCGAAATAAAAAATCGATACACAGAGATTCTGTGCCAATATAATAACGAAAGTTCATTACAAACAATTATGCTACAAAGATTCAACAAATTATCATTAAAGAAGTCTGAAAGCAAAACAACAACAAAAATGGAAGAGGAGCAATTTCCATGTAACCAAGAAGCGGTTTATCTTCAAGAAGATAATGACTTGGACTTGACTTTGAAGCTGAATGAGGATAGTACTGATAACGGATTTGGAATTCAGGACGAAATTGAACCATCAGTAGCAACCATTCATCAATTGATGCGAGAAAGACAGGAACACGCAAAGAAGAAAGAAAGTATAAAATATGCAATGAGAACTGGCGTATATCCTAGTTGGCTCTCTCTAAAATTCCAGTGCCAACTAAATTTACCAAATCCAGAAGACAACAAAGACTTTGCAAAATTCTGGAAGGATACTATGAAACTTGAACGCCAGAGAACACTTAAAAACTTAAGAGACTACTTTGAAACTCGCATTGAAAAGAAAAATAAGGAAATTAACAACGTTAGGAGCAGTACTTTCCAAAAATTGGGAACTAAAACAAAGGTCAGTGCGGACGCAAAAAGGGAATTAGATAGATTAATCAAAAAGGCACAAAGTGAACACACTAAGGCCTTGGAACTTTTCCGGGATAATCTACACACAGGACAGTCATCGTCATTTCGAGACACACCCAGACACGAACCTGCAACTTACAGGCGACCTAGGGGACAAGGCACATTTCGTGGAATGAGACGTCGAAGTTACAAGCCTTATTGAAAGTGCGAGCGTTACCAGAGTTTT